TATACAGTTCGACTCAGAACTACTGACAACAAGCTACATACAACAAGGACCCGACAAGAGACAAAGACAGCAGGTGGATTTAAATACACTGGGAGGGTGATCAAGGAACGAGACACAGCTGGAATCAATCAACAGGGGAAGACGCAGAGACAGAGACTCACAGGACAGAAACTGAACACATAAAAACCTTACAATAACTACACGGAAACACAGATCATGACAGATGTGACATTCAGGAACAGTATGATTCTTCTGAACGGCTCTTTACTTAGAAAATAGGACTGGAGTGTCACTGAGAGCCGTTCTTTGTTGTTGTAATGCTCTGCGTACACTGCAGTAGCTATCATTATTTTATGTAATTATGTACATTGATATTTTTTTAATTAAATAAATAAAACACAAGAACGAAAGAGCAGCCAGAGCATGCACATTGCTCTATGATTGTTTTTGTTCAAAGTGGCAGCTGTAATGTGTGCCATGGTGTCAGACTACCTGGCTTCATGTAGCGGGAGAGATGATGTGAACAGTCATGGTGAGCGCCTTGTACTTGGTTACTTCTTGCTTGTTGCTCCTTGGTCAGTGTTCATAGTTGAGCGTTATTTACCACCAGGGCATTGCCTCAATTGCTATGTTTAATGGTGCAACAGTGGTGGCTTCTTATATGAGCAATATTGGCAAATGCCCAGGGCGTTATGTTTTTAGGGATGGCACTAGACCACAAATTTTAGCACAGAAATGGAATATTTAATATTGGTAAAATGTATTAAGTATTTAATATCTAGGTGTCTTCATGGGAATATGGATCTTTCAGATTATTCTGAAAAGCAATTTTGATCATATTTTACATTTTATTGTGTCATGTAGCGCGGGCCGCTGGTCTTGGTCTTGACTCGGCCTCGACTTGCCTCGGTCTTGGTCTTGACTTGGTCTCGGACCCCAAAAGTCTTGGTCTTGTCTCGGTCTCAATACACTCTGGTCTTGGTCTTGTCTTGGTCTCGGGTTAGGTGGTCTTGAACACAACACTGGTAAATAGCCATACAGGTCAGCCTGTGTCCAGTTTGAGTGAAAGGAGGCGTGCGCGATCCTGCTGAGGTAAAG